GTAGAAATTCCCCTATCGCATTGTTAAATATTTGAGCTTAACAACCTTAACAAAATTTTGCAATGACAGCCATAAATATGAATGCTGACTATCATTTAAAGATATAAGGATGTGGAAATGAAAAGAATTTAAATTAAAAAATTCCATTTCACTGAAGCAGACGTTTAACACTTGCACCTTTATTCTTTCTTTCTTTTTCTCACTGAAACCAAGTAGCGTCTCTTATATGTCTTTTTTCCCTCTCCACTAAGGAAGGGGCACGCAGAATTATAATAACTACTTTTCGTTTTAGTGATTGTAATGCATCATTTTTAACATTTTTTTTCAAAGAGCACCGGTGTGGAAATGTTTTAACTGAGGATGAAAAGTGTGACACTGAAATCCGAAGACGTTTTGGGACAGCCAAGGAAGCACTCTAAAAGTTAAGTAATACAAAAGAGGAAAACTTCGCTAGAAACAAGGAAAAGAGTAGCAAGCCGTTACGGGATAACTGTCCTCCTGTATGGCAATGAGTACTGGGGAATCTCCCCGAAGATGAAGAAGAGACTTGAAGCAACAGAAATATAGTTCTACTGCTAAGGATACCATGAACCGATCAACGACGAAAATGGAAACAAAATCTCATACACAAGACCATGAAGAGACAGATAAAAATTCTAGGGTTCATAATGAGAAAAGAAGGCTTGAAAAATCTAATACTCACAGGGGAGCTGCAAGGCAAGAAGGACAGGAAAACAATGCATAAAATACTTAGTGAGCTTGATTAAATGGATGGCGGAACAAGGTTTATGATAAAAGAAAGAATTTATTAAAAGCCACGAAGGATAAGAAATTGTGGAGAGACACGATCACCTACGGTGCATAAAGATCACCGCCGATCATCAGAGCCCGACCTACTGCCAGTCACGATGAACGGATGCCCCCACGGTGCTTTTCTTTTCTTTCTTTTTTTTTTTTTTTTGCTTTATGTCATTTTTTTTATTTTTGGGCTTGCAAAACCCATTTTTCATCACCTCGAGGGGGCCTTAAGCTTGAAACCAACACTCGACCTCAAGATACAGGTAAAATGATCGGCTCCCTCTACCGCTCTAGTAAGTACCTGACTCCTTATACGACCCTCTATCTTTATAAGCGCCATATCAGATCGAAAATGGTGTACTGTTGCTATATTTGGGCTGGAGCTGCCCAGACCTCAGTTTCCAGTCTTGATTCGGCTCGGTTCCATCAGGTCTGACCTTCACGGCTAGCACCCGCCATACCATTCACATTGGCGTATTTCATCGGCGAGAAGTTCCACTTGAGCAGCTTCTTCCTGCGAACCACTGACCTGTGGAACCGACTCAGAAGATAATATTATATATATATACCTACAATCTTAACTATTGACACTGTTTAGATTATTCGGAGAGTTGTCCTCATCTTTGTGCCGTCGTACGCCCGTCCTTCTTTAGGTGGTTGGAATTTCGAATCGATCTCTTTATTTCGTCCACCGGGGTAGATTGTTTTCGTGCCACGTGACTCGCAAGGTCACAAGGCCCAGTGGATAAAAACGTTCGTTGAAGTAACCTAGTGACTTGGCCCAAAGAGTTGAGTTCAATACCTGGCCACAGCAGAGGGGAACAAAAACATTGAGAGTTGAATTACTAAAGGGAAATAACTGAAACTGAGATATCTGGAAGAGGCATGGCATGTGGAACTAGAAAAATCTACCTCAGTGGACGAAAGAAAGGATTCGGTTCGGTTCGAAATTTCAATCACCTGATGAAGGTCTAAGCGAACAATGGCCGAAACGTCGTGAGTATGACAATAAAGGCTAGGACAACAGTTCGAGCAATGTCTATAGCAATTGCAATACCTCATCTCAGAAATATAGACAGAGCTTGAAGAAAGCCGGCGCGTACAATGTCTGAAACGTCGTGAATGTGCCAATAAAGATCAACAGTACGCGCAATATAAAAAGTTACAATATCTCATCTCAGAAATATAGATAGATCCTGAAGAAGGCCGGAGCGTATAACGGCTGAAACGTCGTGTATATGATAATAAAGATTAAGACAACAGCCCGAACAATGTAAATAGTGTATATAGTTACAATCTCAGAAATATAGATAGATCCTGAAGAAGGCTGGAGCGTACAACGGCTGAAACGTCGTGTATATGACAATAGAGATGAAGACAACAGCCCGAACAATGTAAATAGTATATATAGTTACAATACCACATCTCAGAAATATAGATAGATCCTGAAGAAGGCCGGAGCGTACAACGGCTGAAACATCGTGTATATGACAATAAAGATGAAGACAACAGCCCGAACAATGTAAATAGTGTACATAGTTAAAATACCCCATCTCAGAAATATAGATAGATACAATCTTAACCTGTTCAAGTCTAGAGATAACCATTATGTTCCCTTCCTGACCATATAAACAACACGTTAGAGTAACCCTTTACCTCAAGTGGGCCTTGGACCTTGTACAGGGTAAATCTACCGGAAAAAGAGAAATAAAAGCAGAGATGAAAGAAAGCCCCATTACATACGTATGCTTTCAGCAGTAGTTTTCTAATTGATCGATACGCATTAAAAAATCGATGTACTGTGTGTTGTACCACGCAAACTGAACGTAAGAATTGTCAACCATTATTATTCAATTTTTACTAGTATTTCCATGCTTTTAAATAACTCTGTAGTGATTTACTCGTTTGGAATTTACACAGTAAACAATTTCGAATATTTTGCTTCTTGCAGTCACAATGCTCCTTCGGATTAAACTTTGAAATGCACTATAAACTGATGAACTAATTCTAGACAAAATTCTCTTACCATTCAACCCTCGTTCTGCCTTGGTTAGTGAACTCATAATTCATAGTTTTGAATTACGTATTTGTTTTTCTGAAAAACCCAATGTTGACTGTTATTTAACTTCTACGAGTTGGGTTGTAGAAGTTCGACAGAGGGAACGTGCTAGCCGAACACATCCGATGTGCCTGTCTTTTTTTTTTATCATGGCTTCCTGAAAATAACGATACACACTTGACGCCCACATTATTTTAAAGTTATCGAATGAGTTATGAGATATTTTCGTTCATACAAAGTCCAGTCCAGATATTCGACGCTCTATTGAGAACGGAGATGGACATTGCTTGGCAGCAGTATTCTGATTGACCCATGCCAATCAAAGATCGATGTACTGTGTGTCGAGACACGCAAAGTGAGCATGTGGATTGCAATAAAGCTTGTCGTTTCGCATAATTTCACAGAAGACATAAAATCTCAAGCATTCATTTTTTTATTAGAATAAGAATCGTCAACCATTAGGATTAACATTTGACTAGTATTTACTTTCATCTTCATTTTTATTACAAGCACTGTTGGTTACTATAATTTTTAGAAATATTCAATTTCATCTTAGAATTTTACACTTTTGTTTGTTTTGTTTTACAGCATATCAACGTCAATGGGCGATTTAACACCCACAAGATTTTTTTTGCTGGTAATATTTTTGTTAAAAAATGTATTGCTGCTAATACATACATACATATATATATAATGAAATGGATCTAATATTTTTTTCTTTTCAGATGATAAATTTGATAAAAAAAACAACACTTAATAATATCAACTTTGAACATGGACACAATATCTTGACCGTGTTTTCAAAAATGAAAACATTTTATAAAACATACATACAACAAACTATTTCTTATTTAACAGTTAAAATATTTAATCCTTGAAAATGGCTAAATCTATAGCCGAAAGCGCTCAGATAAAAAGATCATTCGGACAGTTTTTATATAATTTATCATCTGAAAAGAAAAAAAAAATGTTAGATCGCATGAGAAATTGTATAAAACTACTGTCGTATTTAATGAAATGTATATATATATATATATATATATATATATAAACTCTATTGCAGGTAATATTTTTTCCAAAAATATATTGCTGGTAATATTTTTCCTTAAAAATGTATTTCTGGTAATACCATTTTATTCAAAAAAGGAAGTGCTGGTAATAATTTTTTCTTCAAAAATGTATTGCTAGTAATAATTTTTTACAAAAATGTATTGCTGGTATTAAAACCTATTTTGACACTTTCATAGTGCTCTGACCTCAGTTTTGATGTGGGGGTCAACTACTTGCCCATAGCTGGGACTCTAACATGTGCTGCCACTTCGGGTCAGGGTGGACCTGGGATCAACAGCAATTAAGAGGTGGTTCCACGCTCCTCAAAACCTCACGATAAGAGGTCTTGCTGTTGGATGTAGTTTATCGTCTTACCCTGGACGCGGGATGAGTTTATCGTCTTACCCTGGACGCGGACGGAATTTATCGTCTTACTCTGGACGCGGACGAAGTTTATCGTCTTACTCTAGACGCGGACGGAGTTTATCGTCTTACCCTGGACGCGGACGAAGTTTATCGTCTTATCCTGGACGCGGACGGAGTTTATCTTCCTACCCTGGACGCGGACGGAGTTTATCGTCTTACCCAAGATGATTTTAGACTATTAATCATTACATTATTTAAGCTGTTGATCAGGGCATATTGATGAAGAATAGACTAAATTTCCCGGTTTTTTCACGGTGTTATTATTTAACGAATTTTGCAATATCTGCAAGAAAGACAATTTCAAGACGACATTAAAATCCTCGCACGTAGGCCTCTAGATAATATATGTGAATTCTTCGTTGTCCTACGCCTAAATTGTCCTGTGGAAATTTCCAGGGACTTGCCGATTCATTAATATATACAGTATTTGCAAGGAGAACCAATTAACATCCTAGTGTCATCACTGGCTGGGTTACGGCAGGCGTCCGTGCGTGAAAAGCTTTCCCCGTGTGTGTCTTTATTTTGTATTATTTCATGTGGGCTGCGAAAATAGTTAAGGAAAGATGAAAAGAAAAAAGTGGCTTGTTTTAAGTATTTTACGAGGGCTTGGTTTTTTTGTTTTTTTTTTTTTAATTTGAGAAAATAGTTTAACATTTGGATATCACTTATGACTGTCATCAAGTGTGAAATCTATCTATCTATCTATCTATCTATCTATCTATATATATATATATATATATATATATATATATATGTGTATGTGTGTGTGCGTGTGTGCCGTTCTATTCATATCTATCTATCTATCTATATCGGTCTGTTCTTTAACTTCATTTATATCTATCACGTTCAATTCATCTATCTCAGACTCTTCATATCTATATATCTATCTATCTATCTATCTCAATCTCTTCATATCTATCTATCTATCTATCTATCTATCTCAATCTCTTCATATCTATCTATCTATCTATCTATCTATCTATCTCAATCTCTTCATATCTATCTATCTATCTATCTATCTATCTATCTCAATCTCTTCACACCTATCTATCTATCTATCTATCTATCTATCTCAATCTCTTCATATCTATCTATCTATCTATCTATCTATCTATCTATCTCAATCTCTTCATATCCATCTATCTATCCATCTATCTATCTCAATCTCTTCATATCTATCTATCTATCTATCTATCTATCTATCTATCATATCTATCTATCCATCAATCTATCTATCTATCTATCTATCTATCTATCTCAATCATTCATCTATCTATCTATCTATCTATCTATCTATCTATCTCATTCTATTTCTTTCTCAGTCCATTCATATCTATCTATCTATCTATCTATCTATCTATCTATCTATCTATCATTATCTATCTATCTATCTATCTCAGTCTGTTCATATCTATCTATCTATCATTTTACTTTGGAAATGGCTACATGTAACCATAAGTGTTTTTTTTCTCTTGCGCTTTCCATCCTTGGAACTCACTCTTCCTGTCAAAAATGTACTTGCAACGCCAATCGTCGTCATCTGCCTTTTTGACATCTGTTCTTTTATTGTCTCTACCGCCTCAATAGAGTCTTCTCGCCATTTTTTTCCACTTCCATCAAAGCCCTTTGCATCTTAGTGTCTTTATCATCTTCATTTCGCCGAAATGTTTTTAAAAAGGGGTAGAGGCTTACGCCAACACCACGTTGAAACACAGCTTCCCACCAAAGTTAAGCAACGCAGAGTTTGGTCACTGCCTAAAGGGTGGACTGCTTGGGAATACAAAGATGTGCGGGTGGTGTGATGGGTAATAGCTCTGAATTGTTAATCGGAGAGCTGACTTCCAATTCTTGTTGCGCTTACTTATATTCACTTACGCGCAAATACTTTTTGGAAATGGATGAATCCACCTCATCTCCCCTCCAGTCATGGGTTAAATAGTAAGACTTGTATCACTAAACCATTATTAAAATACACCTTTAAGTGCTGAATCTAGATGCGTCGTCAGTGTTGTTGCTCCCATGTCACTAGAAGTTTCGGGTCTAAATAAACAACAGACTTCTTCGATGGGCGACCCGACCGAATCTGATCAGTATTCGGCCCGCACCTAGAACAAAAATTTGCCACTAGCTTTAGGACGTGAATTATATAAGTTGACCCAGTAAACAACAACCAATCAAGACTCCACTTGGGCTATTCGATGGTATAGATTAGGTATGCATGGTTATATTGATCTTCCTGCATGCGGCCAAGATAGGGTGTTTTTTTGGAAGAATAGCAGAAAACAAACCAATAAATATACACATTATATATATATATATATATATATATATATATATATGCGCAAACACACATATATACACAAAAAAAACCCAAAACAAACGATTTATTATATTGGCTCGTCTTGCGACGTGTTCTTTCTCTAACTAACTTATTTGTTTGGTCTTTCATTTCTTTTTACTTTTTTTATTCATATTTTCTTTTCTTTTCTAAACTACATTTAATAAAACGTTTACAATAGACTGATTAAAATGACAGACTATTTACAACTTTAAAAACTAAGAGAAAAAAACATTTAGCTAAAATCGCTAAAAAATAAATTAATCAAGCTATTTACATGTTAAATACTAGTTAAAAAAAACACGTGTAAATTTTAAATAAGTTACCCCCCTCCAAAAAAAAAATTATCCTTACCGGAAGGAATTCGTTTAAAAACTAAGAGAAATAACTAAAATTCTTCAAAATAAATGATCGAGATATTTACATGTCGAAAAATAGTTGAAAGAAAAAATAGCGTGTAAGTTTAGCTAAAATAAGTTACTCCTAAAAAAAAAAAAAAAAATTATCCATGAAGGAAACCGAAAAAAAAAAAAAAAAAAATTAAAATTCCGTTTACAGAAAAGGAAAGATTACTTGTAAGAATGTTTTTGTAATAAAATAAATCTACTCGGAAAACCAGTAAGATGCAAAAATGAACTCATTGCATATGAGACTGAATGCAAATCGAAAAATTGATTCTCGCAAGTTTCTCGTCATCTATATACACAAATTTCACATATATATATCTCTCTCTCTCTATATATATATATATACTAATCAGCCTTAAAAGTATTTGGTGATGGCATTTATGGCGTATGTACAGCTGCATTGGGAAGGTTCTTTTTTTTTGTAGTTTTGGGCCAGTCATTAGCTCTATTTATCCACAACCACCTGGTGGCCTTTTCGACGGACTCCAGGATCATTTGAATCGCCTGCCTTCTTTTTTGTCCAGTTATCCCTAGGCTAGTAAGGGCTCGTATCATTGACTGTCCGGCGAACCCCCTACAGCGGATCTCGACAGGGAAACAATGAATGTGCCATCCTTTAGTTCTGCTATCATTTAAGAGTCCTTCATATTTACTATATTTTCTCTCAAATGCCTCTTGCATATGCTCTTCCCATGGGACAGTTAACTCCAGCAAGATAATCTGTTTTGTGGCGTCCGAACAAACAATTATGTCTGGACGGAGTTTGGAGGACGATATATGTGTTGGGAATTTTAATTGTTTCCCGAGATCGACTCGCATTTGCCAATCCGACGCGGACGATAACAGTGACTGGGATCCTGCAACCTTCTTACTCGGCTTTAACGAAGCGGATAGCTCTTCTTTCTGGGATGAGTTTATTATTTTGTCAAGCTTCAGCACTGATGAGTGCTATCGCCTCTAAAACCTTGTCATGACGCCACCGATAGTGCCCGTCTGTCAGAGCTGTTCTGCACCCGCTTAATATGTGTTGCAGTGATCCCCTCCCCAAACACAAGGGGCACTTTGGTGAATCTATTTTTCCTCATAGGTGTAGGTTGGTCGCGCTTGGTAATACGTCGTACACCATCTAAACCATTATTATCTAAAAGCAACAAAATTCCTACAACCTGAAAACGTTTTCTGTCTTTAAATAACCTTCAAATTGTGAATAAACCGTAGAAGACGAATCAATCAATCGATGAAATACTGATTAGCTACACAGGCATGTCTTTTAGATTTATTTACATTCTCTGGAATAGAAATGTATAGGAGCAACCGTGGCCTCAAAGTGAGGGATCAATTTATATATTGATTGTAATATAGAATTGATCCCCCATTTTATATCCACATTATAATTTCTTGTTTATTGATAAGCCGTAGAAAACGAATCAATCGATGAAATACTGATTAGCTACAGGCATGGCTTTTAGATTTACATTCTTAGATTTATTTACATTCTCTGAAAAGTGAGGGAAATTTATATATTGATTGAAATAGAATTGATCCCATTTTATATCCACATTATAATTTCTTGTTTATTGATAAGCCGTAGAAAACGAATTTATATATTGATTGCTACACAGAATTCTTTTAGATTTATATTTCTTCTGGAATTTCTTGTTTATTGATAAGTGAGGGAAAACGAATATATTGATCAATCAAGAATTGATCCCCCACTTTATATTCACACAGGCATGTCTTTTTAGATTTAGAAAATTTACAATCAATGAAATCGATTAGAACAGGCAAATTTATATTTACATTCTCTGGAATAGAAATGTATATCAAAAGTAGCCTCAAAGTGGGATCAGTTTATATATTGATTTTAATATAGAATTGATCCCCCACTTTATATCCATATCATAATTTCTTGTTTATCAAATTCTGATTATGTACGAATTCACCTCTTCTTCCTCCCTCAGCTATTTTACCACTAAACCATTAGTATCTAAAAAAAATACTTAAAATGTAAACATAATTTCTGGCTTTAAATAACCTGAAAATGGTTGATAAGCCGTAAAAAGCGAATGAATCCAGTAACTGCTATTCGAAACAAGTACAGCCATATAATATAATTTCGCATAATACGATTTGTTTCGTGACGTATTTCAGCCACGAGGAATCATAGTCATCTATTTTCAGTAAGTGTCGATTTCCTATTTTTCCCTGCAAAAGGCAACCAACAATGTTATTACAATTGAAACTGAAAGTGAAAGTATAAATAATTACCTGTTTTGAATATATAATCATATACTTAATTAATTCATCGAGTCTGATAGAAACCTGCACAGAATGCAGGAAGCACTGGACGGCCGTTTCGTCCTATATTTGGGACTCATCAGCCGCTCGCTCACATATTCCGTGGCGGAACTCAACTGAGTTCTCTGTAACCATAGGACTGTGCCCCCGGGAGCCACGACTACTCTCACCAAGCCGCTACCAACTAAGTTGAGTCTGATTTGGAATCTCTTCGTCACCGAGGCCCATTTGGAACAGTTGGTATGATGTTCACTTGACAACCTAACTGTCAGGGTTTCAATTCTCGGTAGTGGATACGCACTGCTGATGAGTCCCTAATATAGGACGAAACGGCCGTCCAGTGCTTTCTGCATTCTGTTGAGGTTTCTATCAGACACGATGAATTAATTAAATATAATTATCAAATCCTCCTACTAATTATTATAATCATATACATATATAATCATACCTATATGAACAACCCGTCTTGGAAATTAATAGATGAATATAATGATGTTAACGCGAATTGGAACTCGGCTCTCCGATTAACAATTCGAAGCCGCACATCCAATCTTAGATTACCAAGTATTTCTCAGCTGTTACCCATCTAGGTATTGACCAGGCTTAATGTTGCTTAACTTAAATTCAATGATCGTACTGGAACCTAATATGGCCGTAAGTCTTATTGTGAGTTTGGGAACAAGTCATTGTTCAGTTTAGGTTTCAACTGTTTTATGTATATAGCTTCAAGAATTTTTAGTTTTTGTTTATTGTTTTCATGTTTAAGTATAGTTGTGTTTTCAACAAGGATTTTCCGGAATTGTGTATGCAGCCAGGCATGTTGTTTTAAATGCCTAAAAATGTTAGAGTTATCATTCAAATGTAGAGTCAAGCGTCGTGAAAGCGAGTTTGTGGTGTGACCAACATAAATATTATTTAATCCGTTGGGGATACAATCTCCCAAAGGGCATTTGAATTTGTAAACTATGTTGGTTTTTGCAAATCGCTAACCGGGGGAGAAGAATCATTGTGAAGAATTAAGTTGGATATACTAGATTTAGTGTAGTATATGCCGAAAGCTTAGATTGGATTTAAACATGTATCAATATGGTGATTTCCTTTCGTCTTTCAACGATAATGTGATTAAGCTTATCAGACAATATAAAAGAAACTTACTAAAAATCAATAGACAAAACTTGTCTATATTATTTAATGAAACATGCATTAATGAAAAATTCCTGCCTAAATATACACAAATATATATATATATATATATATATATATATATATATATACGCGCAACCTTGGAAACGTAAATTATGATTTTAGCTGTGTCTTTAAAACCGAGTAATTTTAAAAGTTACTCCAAAATTCGCTTGAGGATGAAATGGAACTAATGTCTTTAATTTAATTACAAAATTAAATTCTGAGCTTTTAGCTTCCATTTTTGAAACATGGTTGGAACTGTGTAGCGTAAAAAAAAACCATATTTTAATTCAATTAATTTATAATATTAATGCACTGAAAATTGACATTGAGCACTATTTTGTAAAAATAAAAATATCTATAAGAACACCGGATTACATATCTTGCTGTTCTTTCTTTTTATTTATACACACATATATATATATATATATATATATATATATATATATATATATATATATATATATTTTAGGTTGGTGCAAAAATAATGTCGTTTTTTGACGTTAAAAAACGATATTATTACGTCATTATTTTTGCACCAACCTAATATATATATATATATATATATATATATATATAGACATTTATATTAGACAATTGAATACGACAGACAAGGTGCTTTGATTTAGTTTTTATGCAATTTCTCTTGTGATCTAATAATTGTTTTTCTTTTCGGATGATAAATTATATAAAAACTGTCCGAATGTTCATTTTTCCCAGCGCTTTCGGCCATACATTTAGCCATTTTTAAGGATTAAATATTTTTTGCTGTTAAATAAGAAATCGTTTTTTGCATGTATGTATTTATATAAGGTTTTCATTTTTCAAAACATAGTCAAGATATGTTCGGAAAAAAAGAACATTTGGACAGTTTTTATATAATTTATCATCTGAAAAGAAAAAAAATATTAGATCGCATGAGAAATTGTATATAAAAAACGAAATATTACCAGAAATACATTTTTAAGGAAAAAATATTACCAGCAATATATTTTTTGTAAAAAATATTACCTGCGATATATATATATATATATATATATATATATATATATATATATATATATATATATATATATATATATATATATATATATATCATTAAAAATACGACAGTAGTTTTAAACAATTTCTCATGCGATCTAACATTTTTTTTCTTTTCGGATGATAAATTATATAAAAACTGTCCGAATGATTTTTTTATCTGAGCGCTTTCGGCTATAGATTTAGCCATTTTCAAGGATTAAATATTTTAACTGTTAAATAAGAAATAGTTTGTTGTATGTATGTTTTATAAAATGTTTTCATTTTTGAAAACACGGTCAAGATATTGTGTCCATGTTCAATGTTAATATTATTAAGTGTTGTTTTTTTTATCAAATTTATCATCTGAAAAGAAAACAGTTATTAGATCGCATGAGAAATTGTATAAAAAAACTACATAAAAGCACCTTGTCTGTCGTATTCAATGAAATGTGCATAAAAGAAGGATTGCTGCCTAAATACACACACACACACACATATATATATACACTTATATATGTATACATATTCTATTTGCGTTGTGATGACTCTGCCTTCGGGTCTTAGCCATCATAATTTCATAGCCATGTAATTTTTTATTTTCATTTTAATATTAATCTCTTAAGAAGGTATTAAAAATGCTTCTGCAAACAGATTTAGGTTTAGTCCGCCGGCGATCTTTAACCATGAAACTTTGATTCAAGGACAAGACAGATTTGGCGTAAAGCACTGAAATTAAAACTTTTGGCGATAAAGGATTTACGCTGGTCATTCGCCAAGTGGGTACCCAGATATTTTGATTAAGTAACTTTATATATATATATATATATATATATATATATATATATTTTATAAATTAATTGATTTAAAATATTTTTTTCAATTACAAACATTTTTGAAACATGGTTAGAACTGTGTAACGAAAAAAAACATATTTTAAATCAATTAATTTATAATATTATTCTGTAAATTTACATTGAGGACTATTTTGTAAAATAAAATATCTGTAAGAACACCGGATTATATATCTTATTGTTCTTTCTATATATATATATATATATATATATATATATATATATATATATATATATATATATATATATATATATATAATAGTAATAATCTTATAAATATAAGAAATTAAAACTTTTGGCGATAAAGGATTTACGCTGGTCATTCGCCAAGTGGGTACCCAGATATTTTGATTAAGTAACTATATATATATATATATATATATATATATGTGTGTGTGTGTGTGTGTGTGTGTGTTTGTGTGTGTGTGTGGTAAGACAACTCCATTCCCTTTCCTGTCTTTGTAACGTCGTCTTAGCCAAAATGGAAAGACTCTTCTGTTATGTTCAATGATATATATATATATATATATAATATATATATATATATATATATATATATATAATTCCTCGTAGTGAGACAGTATATGTATGGAGGGGAAATATACGCACGCATATATACACGCATGCTGACAGAAACACACGGAAATGGAAACAGATCTAAGAACGCACAGGGTCATTAAAACATTAAAAGATAAAATGCCGATAAGTAATACATCATTTCGCTTGGACCAACCTTAATTGTTTTATTACCCTTCGCGCAGAACTCTTCATTGCCAATTCAAAAAAGAAATTCGGATTACTAACACAAAAACAGAGAATGTCTCATATCGAGAATATTTAACATTGAAAAACATAAAATTAATTATTTTTAATAATATGTGGAAATCTCCGCTTTTACCTGAAGACGGTCACGAGACCAGAAACACGTGTAGTAAAATTATGGAAAATAAAGCATAATATTTCTTTCTAAAAATCCACATTACAACCAAAAACGTTTGTGTCACCTCTCTTCTCTTCTTTTTAATATATATATATTTATATTGGAATAGACTATATATATATATATATATATGTTATAGTCTGTTCATATCTATATCTATCTATCTATATATATCAGTTTGTTCATATCTATCTATCTATCTATCTATCTATCTATCTATCTATCTATCTATCTATCTCTCTCTCTCTCATCGGGGTTAGACTGTTCCACTGCCCATGTCTAGGGGATTACAGGGCAACTCAAGGCCATCAACTCAACTCCGCCAAATGAAAATAAAAATCGTCGAGTCATCGTCGGGACAACCCTGGATTGAGAAAACTTAAAGTAAACTGATATATAAAAAAATTCAGTAAAACAAACTTGGTTTTAATTATTTCTTAATAAAATAAATCGAAAAATACAAAACAAAATGAAGCAGACTTTTGTTTTTTATTATTTTAATAAATCAAATCATAATGTACCATATTTGACGAGTTATAAAGCGCATTTTGTTTTACTAAAATATCTTTTAAAATTATCCTGCGTCTTATATGTAGGTTTAAAATTATCCTGCGTCTTATGTGCCATATGTACGTTTAAAATTCTCGATAGACGGCCGAAATTATCTACCTGGCAATTCCTATTCGCTTAGACTTAAACATGAAAGTGCAATGGAACACTTGAATGGCAAGCCTAATCACGACCTTACACTTACAGGAAGAATAAAAAGACCCAGCATTGCACAAGTCTGCAAATGGGCGAAGCAAGCTTGGGATAAAATTAGACCAGAAATTGTTGTGAAATCTTTTAAAAAGTGTAGCATTTGCAAATGCTCTCAATGGAACGGAAGATGGCGTATTATTTAACGACGATGATAGTTGTATCGAAAATGAGGATGAGAGTTTTGACATCGAATTTTATGAATTTGAAGATGAATAAAATTTTTAATGGTAATTGTTTTGCTCAATTGTAATAATTGCTTGATTTTTATTTTGTTTTCTTACCTTTGGATATAATAAAGTTTTTATAAGCTTGTATTCTTTTTTTCTTATTATTTTTCGTTTAATTATAATCATGGCTTGTTTAACCAAAATAATACCTCATAAATATAGCTTAGGCCATACCATTTACTACTAATTTTACTAATTTTAGTAAGTACCAATTTTTTCTTGATTTTCCCTGCTGAAATTGGGGTGTGTCTTATACACCTGTGCGTCTTATATGCCGTCAAATACGGTTATTTTATTTTTTTAATAAAGTAAATTGGAATATTTATTTTTATATGTCAATTTACTTGATTAAAAATAACTTTCTTTACGATTAAAAATAATAAAAAACAAAACTGCTTCATATTTTACATAATATCTTTACAAATGCCTTATTTGAACAAAAATATTAACAGTGAATACGTTCCAAGTGTCATGTATCTACTCGAAAACGGTGCGAGCTGAAGCCACAACTCAAGAATACTTGGTATCGGAATCAACATTTTTTTTTCTCACCAAGGCGATATATCTAGGGGAGAGACAACTGTACACTAATAAAGTAAATCGTAAAGAAATTTATTTTTTAATAAAGGAAAATGATATATAAAAAATAATTCAATAAACTAAACTTGTTTTTAATTAATTTTTTTAATAAAGTAAATCAAAAACTGCAAAAAAAAATAAAGAAGCAGTTTTTCTTTTTTAATTTTTTTTAATAAAATAAATCCTGGAGTAATGGATAGCGGCTCGTATTGAAGAATCGGAGAGCCGGGTTCGAATTCCAGTCGAATCCATTACATTCACTTACGTACTAATAACCTTGGGAAAGGTATGAATCCTCTTCTTCTCCAGCTATGGGTAAATAGCAGGGTATAGTGGGTTCTATAGCCTTGGATGGCAACTGGTCTACCGCACAAAGAAATACCAACCTACTGTAGAAAAAATCTACCTCGTCAGTCATGTATCGAAATATACATGATCGCTAAGCGTGTATCACACATTGCACAGTGACTGACTGACTTTCTAGTCGAATCCATTACATTTACTTACGTACTAATACCGTTGGGAAAGGTATGAATCCTCTTCTCCTTCCCGCCCCCAGCTATGGGTAAATAGCAGGACAGCCTTGGATGGCAACTAGTCTACCGCAGAAAGAAATGGCAACCTACTGCGAGAAAAAATCTACCTCATCAGTCATGTATCGAAAGATACATGATCGCCTAAGCGTGTATCACGCATGGCACATTGACTGACTGACTGAAATCCTAATGCAATTTATTAATGTCAATTTACTTTATTAAATAATAAATTTCATTACGATTTACGTTATTAAAATAATTAAAACCAAAAGACTGGTTCATATTTTACATAATACCTTTTCAAATGCCTTATTTGAAGAAAAATATTCACTAATTAAGGTTTTAATCCTTAATAAATTACTTTTATTTGATTATAAAAAAATATTATTATGCTGAGATATCTCAGCTGGGTGTTGAGTCGGCGGTGTTGAATTGGCGTCGCTGAGCGGTCCTGCATTCGGCCCCTAATTCCAATAATATTCAAAACCACAAGAAACAAGCTAGTATTGTTTCATTATCACTGAAGAGACCATGAGTATTCTTCAGCTATGGCGAACGGTTACTCTCTCAAAGAGGCTTCATGCTTTGAAAGTCTATTGAGTCTCAAGTCAGCTCTAGACTTCAAGTGGGGCAAGATCCATTGCTGAAGATGCTGGGAAAGTGGTTGGTTGATTCTGTAACTCCCGGAAGTGCTTGTCTCTTTCCGCCATGTTTTATCTTTACAACGGTAGAAATATAAGTAAAGGTGAGGTCTTTTGAAACTTAAAACAGCGGTACCTGACGCATAACTCATTACGGAACATTTTTCTTTCGATCAATAGTTATCAGTAATTGGAATCAAATTGAAAATACAAGAGCAAGAGGCTCAGACTGAGAGAAAGTGACTGAAGGAAGATTAATTACTTTTTTTAGACGAAGATGACAGGACAAAGAAAACTGTTGTTTATAAAACTGACCATCTCGCGAAAAGGAAAACAGAAGGAACGAAGTGGGCCTCAACCCTCCTTCGCTCGGTTATGTAACTTATCTGGACACATGGCACAGTGGATAAAGGCGTTAGTTAGATCCAGTGACAGGACCCAAAGAGTGTGAGTTCAGTACTCGGTTAAGGCAGTTGAGAACTTGGAGAAGGGAATTAACAGGAGATAACTGACAAGTGACATCCATTAAACATTACACTGACTATAAACCCCTAATAAATGACTTTATTTTGAAGAAATGGCAAGACGCTTGGAACAACTGTCGAAACAACAAATTATTTAAAATCAAACCCTCTCTAAAGAAACAATTAACGGAACACAGAAAATCACGCAAAGAAGTGGTTTTATCCTGTATTCGCATAGAACACACGCACATAACTCACTCCTTCCTCCTAAAAGACGAAGATCCTCCTGAATGCATAGCATGCCGGGAAATTTATACTGTGAAGCACTTCCTGCTTGATTGCGGTGACATGGCATATATTCGAAAATTATTTTACAACGTGAACAACTTGAAAGAACTTTTCGAAAAATCAAACCCCAATTTGATCTTGACCTTTCTTAGGAAAGTTGGACTATATAATAAAATATAATTCCAATTTAGTGTCTGCTGATGAAAGGGGAAACTTTAATGCATGTTAGGTGAGAAATTTTCAGAGAAAAACGCACCTCTGAAAACAGTGAATTTTAAAACAATCAAGACAACATCGAAAAAGAAGGAAAGGAAAGGGAAAGTCTTTTTGAAAGCTTTTCAACCTTAGAAAAAGAAAAAAAAACCCCAAAAAACAACTGTTTGACCTTAAATGACCTCTTGCTGATCGATGGGTCGTTAAGTTTTAAACAAACACACAAAACAAACAAACCATTTAATATGGCACAAGGAACTAGAACAGTCTAACCCAGTGAGCGAAATAAAGGGTTCAGTTCGACATTCTAACCACATGAAGAAAGCCGGAGCGTACAACGGCCGAAACACTGTAATGAATTTGGCGACAAAGATGAGGACAATAGTCCGAATCATATAAATAGTGAGCAGTAAGTTACTACCTAAGAATAAAATCTGGTTTATTGCTAGAAATTTTCTTGTTTTTCACTCGTGGGTAGCGATCTGACTGAAGAATAATTTTTACGACACACGCGTTTAACTACAATGAACTGCACCATGTCAACGAACACAAGAGTCAGGTTAGAATGAAAACAAAATGGAGTGTTGTTGCTATATCTGGTCTGAGATTTGTTCAGTTCTCTCTTTCCTTCCTTGATGGAATTCAAAATTGTTTACGCTGTTTTGTAGGGAGGGATAATTGTTTTCCACCTTGCACTATAGCAGGGGTCGGCAATCTTTTTGAGAGGGCGGACCAGAAAGTTATGCAGTGTGTTGGACGTGGACCATGATATCAAATATACTATAATAAATTGTCTCGACTCCAGACAACTCCGTCCAGGAGCTGGAGGTTTGATAAAAAAAACAACGAAACTGATGTTCTATTATTTAAACAATGTTCCTTATTTTACTGCAGGAAGAAAAGACTATCAACAGAATCAACAGAAAAATGCAAATTCCTAACTTCAAAGTAAATATAGTTAGAAATAGCAAATTATTTAATGAGACATATGTTTCTGCTTATTGTTCGATTACTTCTCCACATCAGGTGAAATATTTGTCGATGACAGCAGCAAAACTTTATCCAGGTGACCATCACCCAAACTAGGACTTCAACAACATTTAGTATATTTCATTTTCGAAAAAAAAAAAGTTCTTCACAAGCATATGTACTTCCAAATAATATCTGTCTATATTTCTGAGATGAGGTATTATGTACATTATTTACATTATTCGAACTATTGTCCTCATCTTTGTTGCCATATTTATTACAACGTTTCGGCCCTTCAGTATCTGTCTATATTTCAGAGATGAGGTATTATGTACACTATTTACATTATTCAGACTATTGTCCTCATCTTTGTCGCCATATTTATTACAACGTTTCGGCCCTTCAGTATCTGTCTATATTTCTGAGATGAGGTATTATGTACACTATTTACATTATTCGGACTATTGTCCTCATCTTTGTCACCATAGATTGGCGACAAAGATGAGGACAATAGTCCGAATAATGTAAATAATGTTCCAAATAATAGTAACACCATTTTCGCATTATTCAATATGATTTTATATTTTCTGCTTTTCTTTCTTTTTATGTGCCGTGTCCTTTCAGGACGTAGGCGATCATGGCTCTCCACTTTCTCCTATCCCTTGCAGCTCTCAATAAGTCCCAATTCCCTCAGACCACGCTCTTCTATTCACTTGCTTAAGCCCACCAAGTATGTCACGCGTTGCTTTCCCTTGTCTCTCTTTCCCCTGTATTCGACCTGTGAGTATCACATTCTCCAAGCCCTCCTTTCTCATTATGTGTCTCAGAAATTTCATCAGCCTCTTCCTTGTGTTAAGTATAATCTTCCTCCTTGTTTGCATCATTTTCAAGACCTTATCGTTGCTCACATGTTCGGTCCATGATATCCTTAGAATCCTTCTGTAGAACAATACCTCCATTGCCTCGAGTCTCTTGTTCATCTTTGAGGAGACTGTCTATCATTCACTGCCGTATAGGAGGAGAGATGTCATGTAGCAGTTCAGTGCTGTTCTCTTTGTTATCCAAAGAAATCCTCCTGTCTCGTAATACTCTAGCTTTTAGAATGCGTTTTTGGCCATCCCAATACATCTTCGGATCTCAGTGACGCACTTACCGTCCTCTGTCAAAACGCTTCCCAGATATTTAAATTTCCGCACCTGTTGATTTTAGTGTCCCCTCATTTCGGGCTCATCCTTTTACTGATGACCATCCATTCTGTTTTCTTGTAGTTTATACTTAGTCCTTTCTTCTCGCTCTCCCTCGCCACTTTCTGTAGGAGGTTTTGTAGTTTATTTACCGTGTCTGTTATCTGTACTGTGTCATTTGCGTATCTTATGTTGGTAAGATTGTGGCCGCCAATTATAAATCTGTTGTGGACACTGGCAACGGCAATTTTTTTTTTGTCCCCGTGAAGTGCGAATCCTCGTCGCCAAGTTGTTGTGGAATGTTTAGGGGCCAGAAAGAAGGAAGGTAGGTTGAAAAGTATATTGAAGATATATACAAAACAATAGTGTTAGTAATAAGAAGATTACCACTGCGTCTACTACTCCACTTCACTTCCCATTATACTGTAAGAGGGTTTACCACAATAGATAGATAGATAGATAGATAGATAGATAGATAGATAGATAGATATGAACAAACTGAGATTGATAGATAGATAGATAGATATGAATAAAGAGAGACAGACAGATTGAAGAGACTGGGATAGTGTTGTCGCCTGTTTAGGGGCCAGAAAGAAAGACACGGAAGACGAAGGTAGGTTGAAAAGTATATTGAAGATATATACAAAACAATAGTGTTAGTAATAAGAAGATTACCACTGCGTCTACTACTCCACTTCACTTCCCATTATACTGTAAGAGGTTTACCACAATAGATAGATAGATAGATAGATAGATAGATAG